TCTAAGTTTTTACTTAGCTTTTAGACACTTTACTATAAAATAAAGCCTCCAGAGACGGAAACAAGTACACTAATTACATATCATGCGCCATCTGATCATAGTAGGTACTATGGCACTGCCTTTTTATCTCTGTACACACTCATTTAAAAAAAAAAACTGTTAGCATGTCCAATTTTTCCAAATTTTTGTAAGACTGCATTTAAAGTAAATAAATTTTAAAATGATGAAACACTGTATCCATCAATTCTAAGACGCACATTCACTTTTAACATCTCTGAAATCAGTATGGATTTACAGTTGATGGCATGTCTGAATTTAATTGGCAGTGCTTTTTCTTTCTTAGCAGCAATGGCGCCTTAACATTTGTGGTAGTTCCAAAACTAAACTGCCTTTTCCAAAATATACAATCAACCAATTTTCCTTTTCTAAATGTTATTTAGAACAACCATTAACAAAAACCAAATGAAAAAATGTTCTGCCAAGAGCCTCATTTAAACAGTGATAGATTTTAAGGAAAATGAGAAGTTATCAGTCTTGCTACTGGTATTCAAGTAAAAGAAGAATTACTGAAAAATTTTGCTTTTATAACTATTTAACCCACACAAAGATATCTTCACACTGTCAAATCAAGACATAAACTGTATGCTTTAAAATTTTGTAACAAATAATAATTCTATAAGACTGCAAAATGTAAATTTAAAATACACTTTAAAACTTTAATGTACATTATTTTATAGTTAGAATAAGTTCCCTGAAATTAATCGTAAATAGTCTTTTTATTAAAAATGTTTATTGAAAATGTGTTTTCACACATACTGGAGTTTCATTCCCCACCAAAGGTAAGGAGTCCACAGAGGAAAAGAACACAATCTTAAAATACTTGACCTTTACAGTGGATACTGGTAAGAGGTGGATACATACTAAAAGCAATATAAAAATAACTGTAATTAACATGTATCTGCCATATACTTGAGTACAAAAGCATGCCATGAATGGTAAATATAACTCTTGTGATACGTAAAAACTGCCTCTCATAAGTCAATATAACTTCACAAAATTACGTTTTCTTCACTGCATATTGACCTTTACCGCCAAAACAAATGATGCCAAATTATGTTAAGTGTGAAGTTACCTTTGGGGCAGAAAAGTATATATTACTGAATATAATCAAAATAATGTTTATGATACATTACCACTGCTCCATTATCTGGCATCATTGGAGTTCCCATATTTGCAGCTCCTTCTGGTCCCATGGCAGGACCAGGACCCATTGGTGGGCCAGGTATAGTTCCTCTGTTGTTCATATTCATACCCATCATTGGAGGAGGACCTTGGTTACCAGCAGGTGCTGGGCTAAATGCATCTACGCAAAACAATCTATACTTAGAGCTGTCCTATCTTAGTTTAGTAAACATTAAAAATTTAACAATACTTATGCAAACTATATAACAAGACTATCATAAAATTATTTTCCTTCTTTGAGAATGGGACACTTAATTATCTACTCTGTAATAGAGCATTACCTACACTATAGAATTTTCATCCCAAAATCAAATGTACATAAAACAAATGAGACAACTATCAACTATTTTAGAATATTTGAGACTGTCAAAGTTTTGAAAGTTTTTTAAAAAATGAGTATTACTTGCTATAGTCTGCTTTTTAACTACTCTCTTAACAATGGTAACTATACCTTATAATTAATGGCAAAGGATTAGCACTTGGCAAATACAAATATGTATATAAAGTTCACTAAAACTAACCTCTTGACTTTAATGTAAGTTACTACACATACCCCCAAATTACAGGAGGTACTATTTTTTAACTTTAAAATTTACAGAAATAGGCAATATAAACAACTAAAAAGGGTTGTGATGACAAAGCTTATTTTTTAAAAGCAAATATAGATAAAATATTAATAGAGCTATATGAATTTTTTTGACATGTTAAAAATTCTGGAAATGGGGACAATCAGACATACTTCAAATTTTTTCATCAAAAAGATATCTACCCGGCCTCATGTTAATTGCAATAATTTTTGAGCTGAAATATTGTATTTATAATGGCTTCAAATACAACATTTTTAGGTATCTTCTTTGAATTTTTTAATTTTTAAAGTACTCATACTTCTTTTCATTAAAAATTCATAACAAAGACTAACTCCAACTTAAAGAGTTTTCTTCTAGTTATTTCATTCTATAGGTCAATTTTATGACACTCAGAACTCAATTCCTCAAGAACACATTATAACAGGAGATGGTATCTCCATTCAAACCCAGAATTCTACACAGTATCTAATGCAGCTGACCTCTACATAGGACTGAGCCCAGGGAGGAGCTGGGAGGAAAAAGTCTTACTCCCTACCAGTCCCTGGCAATATATACACTACCACTCGTTCTCAACCTAATCCCCAGGAACCTACCACTTTATGGGAAGAAATTACTTCCTTAATCTCAAAATGTTCTTATTGATAAATCGAACATTATAACTATGCAAGAATATTTCTATTCCCTTAGCATAGCTATAAATAAAAATTTTTACTAGAACTCCATGACATGTCCCACATGGAAATGAGGAAGAATGGAGACACTATCTATAAGGAATCTTAACTTTCCCTAAAAAGAACAGATCAAGGATTAGGTTTTTCTTCTCTTTTTAGTAAAACATAATTGTTACATTTAACTTGCAAGACTCAAATATAACTATACAACTATGGGTATAATAAAATAAGTAAAAAATAACATTTCCAACTATCAGTATTGTTTCTAGTAATTAAGCTTTCTATCACACAGATATAATTAAACTAAATTTAAAGATCTAAGAAACGTTAGAATTATCTGGTCCCCTGAAAAGCAGTTTTATAATCTATGTTTCGCTTGGTAGACAGACTGGTGATAAACCAGAAAACCTATTGCCACATTCTAACAATGTAACTTGATAGGATATGACAATTTAATGATTCAACAGTGGCATTCAACTGCATGATAATGATTCATAACTCCAGTAAACCATTAGGACAAAGTCTCAGACTGAATAAAATGTATACAGGAGAAAAGTAAATGGACTGGACTTAAGGGGAGTTGAGAAAGTGCTCAACTGTAATACAGTTCTCCAATGAAATAAAATGCCATAAAAATTTTTAGTTCTCTTAAATTACTAACTAAATAAGGAATCTAAAGGTACACTCTCATTATTCTTCTGATGAAGTTGCTAACTAAAATAGAATATTTTCAAGGTCTTGGCAACATCAGAAATACTTCATTTGCTTCTAATGTTAATAACAATCTAATAATTATAATGGCATTGCCAAGTACCTACAACCCATAACCTCACACTATAACCCTTAAAACCACTTGGATTATATTATACACCATTCTACAATTTACTTTGAAAAGACATAAAATTGAACTATTTGTACATTACTATATATTCAACTGTGTCTTATATACAAGAACTGTGCCTATAGAACTTATGTATTTTGTTCACCAATTAATTCATGTATCCATTGTAACTAACTTCACAATTAAGATCTTTATAGGTAAAGGCCATGTATCATGCTTCCTTTGTATACCAGAGATGCTCAGTAACTTCTTACTGGTAAGAAAAATGACCAAATTAATAGCAATAAACAATTTTAGATGATCTGATTGGAAGTAGCAAATAAACTGCATGAGAAATAGGGAAAAAGGTTGATCACAGAAAATGTTCATTCCACATATTAGATGCGTTAAGATTTTTTTACTCCATACACTATATATCCTAAGTACTACATGCTAATGGTAATGTAATCTTTACAACAATATGTACATTTTGAGTTACGTGAAAATTTTAATTTTGTGACAGCTTCTGTGGGACAATATGAAATTAATATATTAAAAATTTATCTGATTTTTAAGTGTATGACATTTCAAATTTACTGTTTCCCTCAATAGTGGAGAAGCTAATGTAGGCACTTTCTTCAAAACTTTACATCGACTCTAAAGATATGCATTAGCCCAGATGTAAAAGACACATCTCATTTCCTTGACATATCATAGACGCCTCCGAACAGTGCACTTCTGTGCACAATATGGTAGGTTAGGGCAAAATAAGCTAAACATTCAGTAAAATGAATAAAAGTAACTCCACTTACACAAAAGGTTACCTTACCAATAAAAATTTATAAAATACTCTCAAGAAGTTTAAAAACACTACACACTCAGAAACTATCAAACTTCTAAGAAAGGTAAAAAGAGCCAATTTGAAAGCATGAAATTTGATTTTTTAAAAATGCAACAATATAGCTGCATTACACCATGGAATGACTGAACAGGTTTCAGGTTGTATCAAAACCTAGTTATAGGTTTCTTTCATTAAATCTCTTAAAACATAATATACCTTTTAGCCTTCAATGAAACAAAATTCTTCCTTAGCATATTATTTTTAATATACTTGTATTTTTTTTCAACTTAATAAATATAAGAGATTTCACCATTACAAATGTTGGTTCCAAATTTTAGTTTGTTACTGATACGTAGATACCACAAACAGCATGTACAATTCCCCAAAGAATTACAAGTTACAGAAGGCTTTTGCTTCAAATCCCTACCTCCCATGTTTATTGCTCCACGGGGACCCATATCACCCATTCTCATTTCCTGTTCTCTCTGTAAGTAAGCATAGTTGTCACAGTCAACCTATCGATCTTATGACTTTACATTTCCCATCTAAAATCAAAAAGAAAAGAATAAATTGGGACATCACTTTCCATTTAAAAAAATTAAAAATTTCCAACATCACTTACTTATTAAGAACACTGAAAAGAAACTTCAATCTCCCAGGTCTGATATACCAGAGCTTAGAGCACTCAGTTTATACTACTAGATTATCAATGTGTCAGATTACACAAAATCTACAGAATGTTTTTAATGTTCAATAGAGCAAAGACGTATGCCTACATTCCAAAAAAAGAAAAATCTAATATTAATAACCACCAGGGCCAATTATTTTTTCCTCCCAGGACACTAAAGTCTTAAAACAAAAAGACCATTACCCCTTTTATATTCAAATGTATTCAAACATCCAACACAAACAGCTGTGGGGCACTAAGCTAAAAATAAAGTTATATGGACAATTTTCATTGTTAATACATCTTTGCATTTTTATTCAAATACTTGAGCATTGTTTCACCCAAGACCTAAAGATTTGCCATGAAAAGTCCCCATGACACACAAACAGTTGTTAAAAGTTCAACATAACACTGCTTCCTTTATTTGAACAAGGGTTTTGCTTGGAAATCTAAATAAAAGTGTTATTACACAGTCGGCAAGTTCTGAAACAAAATGCTCGAGGTTAACTGTGATACAAAAGGTCATGCAAATGACAAACTTAAATTTCAGTAAAATTCAACTACTTCGAAAAACTAATTTATTAACAGTAATATTATTAGTATTAGTTATTAATTCTGTATAACTATAGAATTAACGTCGATGAAATCTCTAGGTGAAATTACTCAACATACTGTAATTCAAATTTGCACTATTATTTAATGACCTTTTCCATTATCAGACCAGTGTGTTAAATGTAGCAATCACAAAACACATTCTGAGACAAAAGTAGCAATGTCTTAAAACTTTAAAAAAAAAAAAAAAGCACAATTTTTCTTTTAAAAGCAGTTCTATTAAAATGTGCTTAAAATTCCATTTAGTAATACAAAATATCAGCGAAAAGCACCTATAAAAGCTAGGGAAAAAAGGAAAGAAAAGCCTATGGTATATGGTAGATAAATGCCACTAAGCAGCTTATCAACTGCCCATATCTAACCTAATGGACATGCCTCAAACTGTAACCTTTAATGAAGCTGTGGTAAAAAACAAAACAAACAAAACACATCACTTACACAGCATCATAAAGAAATGTTTGTCACATTACGTAGAAAATGTAAATCCCAAAACTTTCTCAAAGCTATTTTTTTTAAACTTGCCTAAAACTAAATTTGTCTCTTCTCATCAAATGTTTGGCTAGTGATGGATACTACTATCAAGCAAAACACAGCTAGACTATTTCATAGAACGGATTTCTGATGAAGTCATATGGAAAATACTACTTTATGATCACACTTAACACTATCATCAATAAATCAAATCCAAGTTGTCATTTCCTCATCACTAGAACCTGATAAAATGTAGACAGCCTTCAGCATATCCAAAATCATCCAGGTATTATTTATAGCAGATACCTGTTATTGAAAAGCTGGTTCCATTTCAGCACCACAGTAAAATACACGGATTTTTTGATCATGACATCTTTGGGGAACAAGGGTTTAATTTTTATTTTTACTTTTGGATTTGCCTTAACTATGAAAGATGAAGAATGCAATATCTAACCAACAGAGGGTAATTATGATATGATATGAATTTGTATTCATATTGTTTGTATTTGTATTCATATTCTTATTGTTTGAGACTTCAATTTTCAAATCCCCCTTAAGTATTCTGACATCCTAACTGGATGCCTGTGATTCACTGGTGGAGGGCAAAGAAGGAGACGTTTTTATTATCTCCTTAATATTTCATCTGTACGTATCATTTTCCAAAATAACAGTATTTATTAGCTTTATTATTCACAAAATTCAGTACTTTTTAAATTATTCTATTATTCTATTTTCTTCATTAATAGAATTCTGAAGAGATTAATATGCTAAATACATTTATGGATTTTTTTTAAAAGCTTTTATTTATTAAATAATCTATACACCCAGCATGGGGCTCTAACTTACGACCCCAAGATCAAGAGTCACATGGTCTACTGACTGAGCCAGCCAGGTGCCCCAAGACTTACGGTTTTTAAAGTCAATTTATTCAACAGTGGCCATAACATTCCCTTTCTGATGCTCTATTAGAAACTGGTTCCAGGGGCATGTGGCTAGCTCAGTCAGAAGAGCATGCAACTCTTGGATCTCAGGGTTGTCGGTTCAAGCCCCACGCTGGGTGTAGAAATCACTTAAAAAATCTTAAAAAAAGAAACAACTGTTTTTCCAGTTTCAAAATATCTTTCTTTAAATTAGATAATCAGAATGTCTTACAATAATACATGCTAATGTAGCATATCACTGTGCTAAAATACCTATATATATAAAAGCATTTTTCACTAAATACACATACACTCCATTTATTTAATAGTGTTGATGCTTCCTTAAAGAAAATTACTAAGTACTATTTTATACAGCTTCACATATTAAGAAAAAGATAGTATAATTGGATGACAGATCATTTTTTAACTATTTTAGAAGGAGCAAAAGAAGTTTTCAACTTCCTAGTCCTATCTTTTTTTTTTTAAAGATTTTATTTATTGGTCAGAGGGAGAGAGAAAGAGAGAGCACAAGCAAGAGGAGCGGCAGGCAGAGCAGGCAAGAGAAAAGCAGGCTCCTGGCTGAGCAAGGAGTCCAATGCGGGACTCGATCCCAGGACCCAGGGATCATGACCAGAGCCGAAGGCAGACGCCCAAGTGACTGAGCCACCCAGGAGTCCTTTCTTAGTCATATCTTAAGATTACTGTCATTTTTATCAAAATCCACTGCTACATACTTCAGGTAAAATGCAAGGGTCAGAGATTATATTTAAAGGTAGTGGTTAGCAATGAATATTAAAACAGTACTTCTCATTATAACTTGATTTATCAAATATCAGTAAGGAGAAACTTGGAAGTTCACTATTAACTGTGTACCCACCTAAAAAGCAATACACAAGACTCTCACTTCTATGAATTCTAATATTTGAAATTAGAACTGGTGCAGAATATACATGGTATTTTTGGAATACAAATTTTAATGCTTTATTGCTTTACACCAAAAATTAGAGTTACGATTTAACATGAAACAACTTATAGGTAAACAAAATCTCGAAAGACTGCACTGCAATAAGATAATAAAGCTATGATTAAAACTTGGTTTAATTAATCCAATTACTCTTCATAGCAACCCTATAAAGTAGGTCTACTGTTATCCTATTTTAGAGATCATAAAACTGAGGCACAGCACTGTTAAATAACTTACTCAAGGTTGAACTGACCTAAAAAATTCTGCCGAGAGAGTTCATTAAGTTTTTACCTTCACAAAACACCTTCACTTTTTTCAAGGATTCCAACAAAGCCTAACAAAAGGCGAGATTTTTAATTTATTCTTATTATATTCATAAGTCGTGCCTTTCCATTAAAAAAATTATGCATATGTATTCCTGAGCTTGTCACTGAAGTATGCTTAAATTCACAGCTGACCAAAAAAGCAAGCAAAGTATGACTGATTTCCAGAACCACTTACCAAAGCAGCATTCCATTAAAACAATGGATCTCAGAGTGTGGCTGATGGGAGTACTGAGTCCGCAAGACCCTTTCAGGAAGTGTACACATTCAAAACTGTTTCATGTCTTACTAAACATTAGAACACAATTATAAAATTATCATCTAACTGGGCTTTTCAGTCTATCAACATTTGTAGGGATGGTGTACAAGCAATTGGAGGCAAAAATCTTGGTATTTTAGCACAAATCGAAGCACTTACACTCAATTTTTACTAGTAACTATCACTGTTACAAGGGAGCAGCGGGCAGGACAGCAGAGGAGAGGCTGCTGCCCACACAACTAGTTTTAAAATTTCAACTAGAATATGTAGATGAATACGTACAGGAAGCAGTTAAAATTATTTTTTTAATATATTTTTTTAAAGATTTTATTTATTTGAGAGAGAGAATGAGAGACAGAGAGCACGAGAGGGAAGAGGGTCAGAGGGAGAAGCAGACCCCCTGCTGAGCAGGGAGCCCGATGCGGGACTCGATCCCGGGACTCCAGGATCATGACCTGAGCTGAAGGCAGTCGCTTAACCAACTGAGCCACCCAGGCGCCCCAACAGTTAAAATTATTTTTATTGAATCACTACATCTTTTTAATTATGCAACAAAACAGGATATATACATAAAGCACTTCTGCTGCATTCTGAAATAGGGTAGTCCTTCAAGAAAAACATTCTTATGACTGGGTTGTAAACGGAACAAGACAGCATCTGACAACTATGATTACTGACTTGTGTACAGGCGTCCCTTGTTTTTCAAAAGTGTGCATTACGCCACTTGGCTTTTTTTTTTTTTAAAGATTTTATTTATTTATTTGACAGAGAGAGACAGAACACAAGCAGGGGGAGTGGGAGAGGGAGAAGCAGGCTTCCCGCGGAGCTAGGAGCCCGATGCGGGGCTCGATCCCAGGACCCTGGGATCATGACCTGAGCCGAAGGCAGACGCTTAACGACTGAGCCACCCAGGCGCCCCGCCACTTGGCTTTTATAAAAGACCTACATTTGTAGTATCTGTTTTTGCTAACCAAAACAGGATTTTCGCTTTTATGGAAAAAGGCAAAAAGTGAATATAAAGTTGTGTGTTTTGCAGCAAGTTATTTTAGAGGCACCACAAACCTAGAGCAACGAAAAGTGCTACCACCAAGCTCCATCCCTGGGAATATTCTTAGCATCTCTGGATCAAGTTGCCATAGCTTTGAACTATGTGTGAACATCTGCGCTTTATCTAGATTTATTCTGTGCATCAGTTAGCAAGATGTGTACTAAAGTCTCAGAGAAGCCTAAGAGGTTATAATTTGGGTTCAGAAACTTTCCAAACATTTTTTTATATAAAAATGTTAATGCTTCTTCAGTTGATGCCATTTTGGCTTACAAAAGGTATCATAGGAATGTTATACTTTGGGATAGCATTTGGCAGACATTTTCTGACAAGATCAGTGGTTGATATTAAGAAATGTAATTTGTTTTTAATTCTGTGTAATAAAATACATTAAAATTTAGAAGATGTGTATAACTCAATGGATCAGTATTTTTCTAATGTTTGGTATATGACATTACAAAATCATGCATGGGTAAAAAAAATAATCCATTCAAAGTTCCAGGTAGCCTAATGGATTATAATGCAATGAAAACTACTGCTTGTCAAGTTTTCTGTAGTATTTAACAAAAATATCCACAATTATCTGAAAAGGTTAAAATATACTCATCTCCATTTTACTAATTAGTTATCTAAGTAAAGCCAGATTTTCTTCATGCACTTTAACCAAAAGAGCATTCTGCAACAGATGGAATGCAAAAGCAAATATGGGAAGCCAGCCATTTTCTATAAAGCCAAACATTAAACAAATTTACAAAACAGTAAAACAATAGCACTCTTCCCACTACATTAAAGTGGAACATCAAGAATATCTGCAAAAAGTAAAATAAGGCCAGTGTTCCCACTACAGCCCATTTTCTTTCAACTTTCTCTCTTATTATCTAATATGGTAAACACTGATGTAACAAAACCAAACCAAAGCTCTTAGGGGTCTTCAATAATTTTTAACAGTGTAAAAAAATGTCAAAACCCAGAAGTTTAAGAACCAATGCTTTTTAAGTTCCGGTCAGTATTCGTTCATGAAAATAAAAATAGAAAATTTGCACTACTGTAAAGTAACTAAACCAGTGCAGAACTTTACATTATTTTATATAGAATAGGATCTTTTCTTTAAATACCTAATACTCAAAATATCAACCTATGAATTTAAAGATACTGTAGCTTCTTTTTTTAGATAACCAAATTTAAAGGATTCACACAGTACACAAAGATGAGTCTAAAATAAAGTAATGCCTAAGGTTTAGAAAACAGTGAACTATGTAAATAATGATTTAACATAGTATCAACTGAAACATTCTGCAATCAATGATAAAGATATATTCATCTGACACTAATTAAATTCCTGTTTGAATGAATACAGTCTTAATGACCACAATCATTATTTTTTAATTTATAAAGATCTTTCACGTACATTTCTGAAGAAGCCTCTAAGGGATTGTCAAAGGATCACCATGTACCATCTACGTTCAATATCTTGATAAAGAAAATGCTAAAATTCCCGATGTAAAAATACTGACACAGAACATTTAAATCTACTAAAGGAAATATAATTCTAGAGAAATGTCTTAAGTCTGGGAAATAACAAGATTCAACCTTTTTATAATTATTTCTAAAAATAAATTATACTTAGTACTGGAAAACATATCTTTTCCTTCACTAGAGAAGATTACATAAAGAATAAAGATTATTAGCTAGCTAGTCAGACTGTCAAGAGAGAAATTAAACAAATTAGCAGCTGAAATACTATCTAACAAACAGCATATCTGGAAGTAAAAAATGGAAAAATCAATTACATGAAATATTAAGAAAACAGGTATAAAGAAAAAAAATTCAAAATAAAAGGTAGGCCTCTTTGCCAAGAAATTACTCATTCATTTAGAAAGTGTTACAATCCTCAAGGGTATGCATCAACAAAGTAATCTTTTCTTAATAAAAATGAAGTAATTTTAAACTAAAAAGGGGAGTAAGACATGTTTCCACTGATATAAATAATAGCATGCAAACTTTCAAACATAATGAACAGAGAATGCTTGGAAGACATTTTTACTTCAAGTAATTAAAAACAATAACTTCCAAAACACAGTACTCACTACTAGACCAGGGGAAGGGGGGTATTTTTTAAGCAACCTAAGACAATCTTTCAATAAATACAATCTATGATGGGTGTTTCCCCCAGTTTGAATACATGCATTCCATGATACCTGCATACACAAATACTGGGAAAATGTTCCTCAGTTTTATGACTGTTAAAATGAAATTTTACACCATATTATCAATTAGGTAATTGCAAATTAAGACAACAATGAGATACCACAACACACCAATTGGAATGGCCAAAATCCTAAACACTGACAACACATAGTGCTGCCAAGGATGTAGAGAAATAGGAATTCTCATTCACTGCTAATAGGGATTATAAATGGCATATTCACTTTGGAAGACAATTTAACAGTTTCTTACAAAACTAAAGATACTCTTACATACATACAATCCAGCAACTATACTCCTTGGTATTTACACAAAGGAGTTGAAAACTTATGACTACACGAAAACCTGCACATGGATGTTTACAGCAGCTTTTTCAGAATTGCCAAAACTTGGAAACAACCAAGATGTCGTTCAGTAGGTGAATGGATAAACAAAATGTGGTACATCCAGACAATGAGACATTATTTAGCACTAAAAATAAACAAGCTATCAAGCCATGAAAAGACACAGAGTAACCTTAAAATGCTTATTACCAAAAAGTCATTATGAAAAGCCTACATATTATACGATTCCAACTACATGACATTCTGGAAAAGGTAAAACTATATATAGACAGTAACAGAATCAGTGGTTGACCAGGATTAGGAAGAAGAGAGGGATGAATAGGTAGAGGACAGAGGATTTTTAAGGCAGTGAAACTATTTTGTATACTGTAACAATGGGTACACGTCATTATACATTTGTCAAAAGTCCACAGAATGTCCAAAACCAAGAGTGAACCCTAACATAAACTATGGTCTCTTGGTGATAAGATGTGTCATTCTGATAGTGAAGGAGTCTGAATGTATGTTGGGGGAAGGAGATATATGGGAAATCTCTATCTTCGGCTCAATTTTGCTATAGATCTAAGACTACTCTAAAATTTAGTCTATTAAAATTATTTAATTTTTTGTCAGAAAGAGAGAGAAAAAGCACAAGCAGGGGAAGCAGCAGGGAGAGGGAGAAGGAGGCTCCCCACTGAGCATGGAGCCTGATGTGGAACTCGATCCCAGGACCCTGGGATCATGACCTGAGCCGAAGGCAGATGCTTAACCAATTGTGCCACCCAGGCATCCCTATTAAAAATTTTTAATGTTTCTTTTTGAATAATCAATTATAAATATATGAATTTATACTGTAATTTTTAGTCACGAATAAAAATTTGTTACTTGTTAAATTTCAAATCAGAAATAAGAGGAATTAACAAATATAAGTAGGGGGACTTACATCTTAGCTCACTATATTCATTAACCTCAAGATACATACCTCTTAATCTAGATTCCCTCAATGTATTTTGAAAGATTATTCTGGTGTCACTGTCAAATTCAGAAATTAACTGCAGCTTTTTAATAACTAGGGTGGTTTTCTAACTGAAGATTAATTAAATCTAATTACATATAATCACCATGTATCAAGAGACTGAAGGGAATATTTTAAACAAATTAATTTTTTAAACAAATTCATATTCAACTGAGAATATTTTTAACCATATACCCAAGGGACATTTTCAAAAATTATCATTATCATCATCACTTTTCAATTGTCATGACAAACTCTGAAGAGATGCTTTTAAAAATTGAAATTGACTAGGAATACTTATTCTTCAAATTTAGTTATTTTATCCTAAACTCTTAAAGAAATCAGCCACGACGGTATCAGCTACAGCACAAACACAGTATTTTGAATAGTATCCTATCAAAGCTCACATAATACTGGTAATTGGTTTGCATTTCTTCACCCATAACCTCTTAACCAGTACATTTCCTTATCAAAGTCAAAACAACTATCACGACTGGCCAGACCAAGATATGAAAGATGAAACAAAAAGATAAACTGTATAAGAAGAAATGCCAAACTGGCCCCATCAACATAAGAAAGCAGTGGAAGGAGCAAACGAGCACATGTGTTCCAATATATAAATAATTAAAGTATGTATTTAATGGGGAATCTTTTTGTTCATGATACTAGGCATTAAACAAATTATTTTAGTAGTATGCCAGAAGCTTTTAAATTTTAACAAATTATGTATTTTTCCTAAGTAGATAAAGCAACAGGTACAATTATAGTAATTTTATAAATATATAAGTGGTAACTAAATAAAATTCAAATATTTAAAATACGCAATTATAAGAAAAACTACTATAATAAGCATATCAATTGTTAAAAAGCAGAATTTTAAAAAGCAGTACTAGGCCAAATGAAGAAGTTACTTTGTGAGAAACATGGTAAATTTACAACCAGAAAACACAGAATTTGAAATGTGGTGTACAATATAGTGCAGGATATCGTAAGACAAAGTATAGGCAAACTTACCCATATACTTTCAATTATTGAAATTTTAAACAGAAATAAATGCATTTCATCAGCAGAGCATGCTCACAAACCCAGGTTCCTACCCCCATCACTAATAGATAATAACTACACAGAGATATTAACATTCACATTTATTTAGCCTGATTTGGTATAAAACACTGACATTTTAAGTGATACTACAGAACTTCATGTCCTCAATACAAAGTACAGAAGATACTAATGGAGACTGGGTATAAAACTCTGACATTTCAGGTTATACTACAGAACTACAATACAAAGTACAGAAGATATTAGATGGAGACTAACCTAAAAAAAATTTTTTTTTTGACATAACCACCTTGTAAAACAACTCCTGTTTGAGGGGGGCTCTAAGTGTAACGTTAAGAAGTCACAAAGCAGAAATAACAGGTTAAATTTTTATGTCTTCCTAGATTCTTTTTAATTCAAATTATTTAATACCTAAAAATTCTTATTTATATTATGTTATTCTTATAACACATGTGACATCTCAAAAACTGTTTACTTTAGTTGAACATTTCTATTTGCCAAACTTGACTTTCCTCCTCTCCAACTTCAGTTAATGTTTACCTTTCTTGGGGTTGGAGAGGTAAACATTAACTGAAAGATCTTACCATTCTGAACAAAGATTAGAAGGACTTACCATTTCAAATGAAAAGACATGATGTATACCTACAACACAGTGGAATAATAAACCAATCATATCAGTTAAAAAGAAAAACAAAAAAACATCCAAAGTAAGTTCCACAACAGTGCTAAAGCTACTCAATGCACTCTTCACATTCCCTAGCAGAGAATCTTTCTCTAAACTCTTAAAACTTTTTAGCTGTATCTCTGTATATTCCACAAAGATACTCTGCACCTATAATACTCTAAAATCCTCAAAGACCTGACCCTGAGCTTGATTCACTTCTGTATCCTCCATGGTATTCAGCACTCTGTTCTTAAACAGTAAAACAGTGACCAAATTTTCTTACTAAATGGAAACCTCTAAATCTTCCTGTAAGTCTAACACTCAGAGGGGATATTCGAGTGGGATCCGAATATTGAAAAGTCAGATGTGCTGAAAACCAAACACAAAAAAATTGTTATTTGACTATTTTTAAAAATTTACTCTTCATTATGTGAGTCCATTATGAAGTCTACAAAAATCTACCAATACCACCTATGTTTCAAAACTACAGATGTTTAATATCTTAGACATTAGTATTCAATAAATACCGAAGTATGGTGACCCATAAAGAACAGTGAAAATCATATGACTGGGCAGCACTGATATTTGAAAAATAGGACACCAAACAACTATTTAATTCTCCCAATTTGTGTCTAAGTAACTACAATATGACAAATACAAGACTCTCAAACTCAAAAAATTCAACAAATTTGGCAACAAAGTCAGAGAGTAATTAGAATGCAATGTGGTATACAGCTTGGTGCACAGTCAGAGAAAGTTATGCATGCACTGAGTACACCTCCAGGAGAAGAAAAGAGATACAGAAATTTGGATTTTAAGCCTCTCTGAAATGCTAATGGAAGGTAAGACGGGGAAAAAAAAAAAAAGACACTAGTCATCTAATATGACATAGAAATAATTAAGTACAATAAAATGTCTTCTAGTAAAGTGTGTATAGAGTTTAAGGGAGACTCAGCATTTCCATTTGGAATCATTTGGAAATCTTTTAAATATGAATGAAAAAACTATTATTTATAATCATAACATATGATTGGGACAACCATACATCCTGCTTTGCCTGAGACAGCCCGTTTTCTGCCTCCTGTAAAAAAAAAAAAGTAACTTTAAATAATACCCATATTCAGTTGTCCCAGTTTGAATGAAAACCATTAAGCTTTCCCCTACATATGATTAGTTATTACTAAAACTATTAAAAAATCCTTTGCGAAGTTTCAAAGAGAAGTGATCAAAGATTTCCACAGCTGGTTAAAATTGACACTTATCTTCAATCCAAATACCCCCAGTTGTCAAAATCCCTAAAGATCACTTCCAAAATATATGTAAACATTACAAATGTAAACATCTATTGATTTTTGTTTTCACTTGACTACGAAAGTCTAATTCCATCCCAAATATTCAGAAAAGTTCCTGGCTCACTGTAAGAAACACATTAATTAAATTATCTTAGTAAATAAACAAATAAAAACATTAATAAAACTCGGTCACAACTAGAGCATTCTATGGGAAACCACTGCAATATAACTGATATAATCAATTTTGATCTTTATCATCATGTCCAAATCACTGGAACTGGGCTGCCACTAACAGCAAGAGGTACACTAAGCTGCCCAGCAAGTCAAACCTAAATCTGACACCAAACCCTACAGCAAATAATTCTTTAGTTATTTCCACAGAATAATGAAGATGCTATAAAAATTCCTTGTGAAATGTCCTTTTTGTTTGAATACTTCAGGTGTTTAGACTTCCAAAAACCAATCTTCTTCTGCAATACAATCAAATCACTTGCTAGAGCTAAATAATTTATAGAAAGAGGAGGATTGGCTAGGTGGAAACCACAAAATGGCAACTTCTCTCAAAAATTCAAAAATCATTTCAGAAAATGTATTTGTACCTACTCATTAGTAATTAATGATTAGGGTCAGTTCTCTCTACCAGCACCTATTCATGAAATTTTATTATTGGCTAGACTTTCTGTTTTGAGTTTTGTACATGGCACATCAGGGAAAGCTGTGTTATAATTAAGTCAGAGAAAAGAAACAATGCCCACTTGAGAAGCAGGAAAAGAGACTAACATAAAGAAATGGCTGATTAAACAGGCCAAATTTGGCAACACCGATCAGCAAAGGGTAACATCTGAAAGAACAATGCTTTATGTCTCTACTAAGAAAACATTTGTAAACTCTAAGATAATCAGCTATGGGGCAGTGATGCTTTATCAGTTCTTCCAATAACTTTTGCTCTGATTTATAACCATGACTACCAATAAACCTTCAGGACACTACTTTGGATTCTTCAGGGACCTTGATTCTAGGATATGAGGTGCTCTGTTCAATGAGCCTTCTAAAAACACTGGAAAAAAACATATTAATTAATAAACTTGCATTTTAGTCACAAACTCTTTGAGTTTGGTTAACATGAGTCACTTTTTATAGATTACTCCCAACTCTCAGACTGAACCTAGACCAGGGGTGGGCAAACTTTTTTGGTAAAGGGCCAAGATAGTATGTATTTCAGGCTTAGCAGGCCAAAGAGTCTTGATATCGTCTCATACAGTTCTGTCATGACTAGTCAATCTACCACTTTTGGACAAAGCAGCCATAATCAAAACATAAACACAACTGTGTTCCAATAAAACTGTTCCAAAAACAGGCAGTGTTCAGATTTAGCCTGGCTTATCCTAGTCTGTCAACCCCCGGTCTAGATGAAATACTTAAACAAAAAGTTAATGCATCATTTGAGACAATACCTCCTCCACATATAGGCTGAAAGCTCAACTAAAAGTTGTCACACCAAAATCCCACAGAGCACTATTCACATAGAATGTTGTGCTACTTCCACTGTTAAGCGTATGAATCCTATCCTCCATGCTGACTGACTTTGAGCCCTCCCTTCAAACTCCCAGGTTCCATAAAAAATTCAACTACTTACTACTAATTTCAGTATTTCAACTATGTCTCATTTCAACATATGGCCAATGGTCTTCTATTTTTGCTAATTAAAATAAACAGACTGAAGAGCTTCTTAAAATGCAGATCCCATGGCTCCAACTCAGACATTTTTCTTTTTTAAGTTGCAAAGATGTGCTGCAAAGGTTGAAAACTACTAAATTTAGCCAAAAATGTGATCAATGGAGAATGCATCAGATTCTACTATAGTCGTGAAACAATCAATTTGTAGGTTGGAGACCTAAGGGAAAAACCCACATTTTTAAAAAGCTCCCTGAGTGTTTATTATGCACTATTTGAAAAACACTACCATGGAAGAGGCATTACACCCTTAGCCTCTGGCTACATCTCCTTAATGCTCTTGGCCTCACTATGTAATATACTGGGTAACCACAATGGAACTACTCTGACAAAGAAACATAACTCAATCAAATTATTGCCTTAGCATATAACATACATTTATTTTCAGGTTTATTATGCACATGTATTTAAATATCCAGTAGGCTATTCCCACCTACTCAAACAAAAATAAAAATTCTTCAGTATCAATTCAAGTACATATTTCGAAACAGATCTAAAGGGCTATTCTTTTATTCACTAAAAAACCACAAATATTAATATTTACAACAGAAACAAACTTCTAAAAAAACAAAAGAAACTCTTGAAGTTTTAAAATAAAATAGCATCCCATATAAACATTGCCCCAATTTACCTAAACAACTATTTTATAATTACTGGATACAACTACTAAAGCTAGAATGACATTTAAGATGTTTTTATAATCTTATCATTTTCCCAAGAAAGCAAAATTTACTCTAAGAAACTGAATTAAAGAAATAGTCTAATTAAAATCTCCACTGTACGCCAATGCAAACTGAATCCACAGATAAAGACTGGTATACTGTAGTACTAAAATGTTTAATATAGTAAGTGGAGCAACCTAATATAAAAACAATCACAAGACAATCATAAAAGACAATCTCATAAATTTTTACACTAACACTGTAACTTATTGTGATGTGTCCAAAAGCTATAAAACTGTGGTAAGTAGAAAACTTCAACCTAGTAAGTACTATCATGAAAATGGTTCAATATTACACTCTATACTACGATAAAGGTAAAGATAAACCTAAATGTATTTAAGACACAGCATAAAAATATATATATTGTTATGGTTGTCAAAAATACCTTATGCTATAGGACTGAAAATTAACATGTTTAATTTATAATTACCAGAGCTATTATCAAAGAACCTGACTTCTAAGAAGAAATAAGGTATGAAATAAAAACGACAACTTCTAGTTGAAGTGCTGACATATCCTTGAAACCCTTAAAAATATGTTCATGTCATAAAATTATGATAAAGTTGAAGGCTAACAAAGAAAAACATGACCAGACATGATGTGTTTTCCCTCATATTTTATTACATTTAAAAAAATTATTTTTCAAGACACAAAATATGAAAATCAATTTTTACTTTATACCTCAAAGTCCATACCATTACTTGTGTTGGAATATTTCTAATAGGAATATTAGAAAGAAATGAGAGGTAGCATCTTAAACCAAGTAAACTGCTTTATACTAATTACTCTTACTACTTGGGCAAGCTGAACACTTACCATTTGATTCCTCCCTTTAAACTGAACAGTGAAAAAAGAGAAAGCACATAAGAGGGCCTAATTTCAAAGCTTTTAAAAACAAAAACAAACATTAAATTTAACAATTTTTTCCAAAGACAGTTTTCAAAATAAATGAAGAATAACTAATACAACAATTACCTCAATGTTTCTTCTATTAACACAAAATAATCAAGACCTATAAAGAGCTTTTAATATTTCTTTAGTACTTGATTAGCTTGTATTAACAAGCATTATGAAGCTAGGAACCAAATAAAACTGATACCAAAATGATGAAAAACTTTTGTCTATCCATAATTTCTAATACCAAAAAATCTAAAAATCTGGCAAAGACTATATTTCCCCTAAATATTTAATTGCATTGTTACATACTATTTTACATAGGGTTCCTCTCCAGAAAATTAAGACTATAGTAACTTTGTGGCCTAACAAGAAACAAAAACAAAAAACAAACAAAAAAACCCAGCACCAACTCTCCAGCCTAGGGTTCAGCAAACTTTTTCTGTACAGGGTCAAAGAGTAAGTAGCTTAGGTTTTGTAAGTCACAGATACTCTAATATTCTTTTATTTTCCTTATCCATTAATTCTCTAAAATGTAAACACCATTCTTAGCTCTGTGGTAGGGTGGTATGAAACTGCGAACTGGTCCCAGGCTAGTTTGCTGACTTCTGCTCTAGTGAAATTAATCTTATGATGCTTCAAATATGCAACATATACTTTACTTGAAAACAAAGATATCTTAATATTAAAATATACCATCTACATTTTCTAAGAGTATAATCCGGTGAAACAATAAATGATCTATTTTTGAAATGCTTCAATAAACCCACCATGAATATTTTAAATATGTAATTAATTTATTCTCAAAGTTCATCGGTAATTTATAAAATTTTAGACACCATGAAATTAATTTTAAACATACAAATGTTTTAAAAATTAAAATAAGAATTTGCAGTATTTTAATTTTAAATTGTAGCAACATTTCCAAATAATTTTTGAAAAGAAAAGTAAAATTAAAATCTGTCCTTCATTAATTATATTAAATGCCACTGAACAAATGTAAAAAATACTGGTATGAGTTTTAAAAAATTGTGAAATAATTTCAAAGAATAGAGTCCGCAGACAAATTTATGATATAGCCACTTAAATGTAACAGCAGAATACATTTTACTTAATCATTTCCTTCTAATCCCCTAAATGATTTATGCATATGACATTACAAATAGCTACACATGTGCCCCAAGAATGTGAAGTTTGTGCCAAAAAAATATTAAGAAAGCTAATTCCACCAACTTTGACTATAAGCAAGCACTTTAGGAAAAGAAATGTTCAGGTACATATAAGGACAAGGAAGAATTTCCTAATCCTCAATGGAATGAAATAAAGTTTCCCTAAGGAAATGTATCATATGTGGTTTACATCTTGATTATATTTAAAATTAAAAACTTAGTCACTAGTTTCCAAAATATGGGCCAAAAAAATTTTAATTACACATACTTTCATAACATCATAAAACATCCTCACACTGATAAATCCAACAGATTTATGTTCACATATAACAACCAAAAGCCCTAAGACCACATTTAAAATATGTCATAAGCAAACACTATGTATCCAAGGAGGAAAAAGAGAATTGCAAAATGATACTAAAAATACTAGAAATTAGAGAAGGAAATTTGCAATGCTTGAAAACTCATGTGGTAATGGAATTTAAAAATCAAATTAAACCTTTAGTATAACTTATAAAAGTAAGAAACTTCTCTAATTGAATTTAAATGCCACATAATTTTTAGTCAAAGGATATTTACTTGATGCAGGCTAAGATAAAAATTTCTTGTTGTTATTACACAAGTTAGGATGTATTTTATTGTGTGTATTCTTTTTTAGAAAGAAAGTTTAAAATTTTTCTTGGGACAGAAGAATGGGACAGAGAAGGTCAGCAAAAGAGTCACTGACTTGAATTAATACTGTTAGCCTCAGAAACTTATTAAAGAATCATGGCTTTTGAATAGCTAGGGGAAAAAAACACCACTAAATATTTTTCAGAATAATGACTATTAAAATAGCATTCATCTAAGGTGAATAATAAGACTCTTTGTTAGTTCACATTAAGAACTTGGGGACTTCAACATATTTGAAATATCCTTGTTTGCCCTACCATTTTGCCTGCCCAAATCAAAAACCTGAGTCAGACCAAATCTTTAGAACTAACTCCAGTTTATGAGAAATTCAGGGATAGAGAAACTTGCTAAGCATCACTGCATGGATAAATTCAACAAGATCCAGGATGTGAGAAACAAGGGTCTGTTTTCTTAAAAAATTAAGGGAAAAATTTAAAAGGTGAAGAGAAAACCTACAGACTAAAAACACTGGATTTATCAGCCAATTTGAACCAATTGTAAAGAAAATAAAAACCTTTATAAAACCTGAGCAAACGTGGGCTTTTACTAGTTAATATTAAAGAAGTGACAATTTTTAAGATATGACAAAGATAGTTTTAAAAAGAGTCCTTATCTTCTAGGGATACATACTGAATTACTTATTAATGAAATCATATAAAGCCAGGGATTTAATAAAAATAATTCGGGAAAGTGGCTCTACTTAAAGACGAAAAGATCAGCTGTGTGTTGATAACGGTCATGACTGGGTAATGAGCACATACTGGTCTACATTTGTATATATCTAAAATCTTCCAATATAAAGAATTTTTATTTATTTTATTTCATTTTTTTTTTAAGTTTGTTTATTTAAATCATCTCCACACCCAACGTGGGGCTTGAACTCCTGACCCCAAGATCAAGAGCTGCATGCTCTTCTAACTGAGCCAGCCAAATGACCCTAAAGAATTTTTAATATCAATAAATGTTGAAAATCAATCAAGTAGAGATGACAGATTTATCAAGAGTTCTAATTTAGAACCATATATTTAAAAAAAGATAAAAATGGAGAAAATTTTAACATCCTTTTCATAAAACATTAATAGTATCTTCAGAAACTACTTTTAAGTTATTACCTGTAAGAGGTTAAGAAAATCATTAGTTTAACATAAACACGACAAATTCAGAAAGATTAAAAAATATATTATATAAACCAATATCCAAAGAATTCTAAATATGCATTGTCCACCTGACAATATAAAATAATTTTAGTTAACTAGTATTTTACTTACATTTTCCATATAGTTTGGCTTAAAGCCCTCTTGTTGTCGCCTCAGTTCCTCCTGTTCTCTGTGTCGGATCATTTCTTCCTCACGGCGTCGATGCTCTTCCTCATGTCTGAAAGATTTTTAAATAAAAATTTCAGCCTGGTTGACATGTAAGCCATGATCAGGTATTTTATTCCAGGTAAAACAAAATCATTTACACAAGTTACTTTATACAAAATCTGCTAATGATGACTGACTGACTAGATTTACTTTGCTTCTTCTAGTTTGCTCTAAGCCTTTAATAAATCAAATAACCCAAAGAAATAAAGTAACTAGGATAAATTAAAAAATAGAGTAATAACATGTAACTAAGAGTTAATATGCTTACAGTCAAAAAATCAGGAGTGTAAAAGCTCAAACATGTATTAAATTACTGTATAAAGAGAAAAGCTTGGGATCTATCACTGGCATAATAGAGTTCTTAAAGGCACTAAGAACCAATCCTGATATAAGCCACTACAAAGAACAACACTGCCTAGTCAAGAAAAATCTATACAGTGTCAAAGGAACCCTTAACAAACCCTCTCTCCCCCATTTTATCAACCCAATGAGGAAAACCTCTGGAACAGGTGTCAGACTACCATCTGTTTTTGTAAATTAAGTTTTATAAGACAATCATCTATTTAATGTCTATAGCTACCTTGGGCCAGAGCAGTGCTGAGTAGTTGAGACAAAGACCATATGACTTGCAAATCCTAAAATGTTTACTATTTAGCTCCTTCCCAGAAAAAGTATGCCAACCTCAGCCCTAGAGGTATGTGGGAGGAAAAAATATTGAACTATATATGTGTTCAGAATTACAAAGAAGTCAGTAATTACTTATGATTAAGAGAAAAAAACCCTACAAAATATTATTGAATATACTCACATTATATTGGCATGTATGTCAATGCATATTCAAGTATATATGCCCTCTACTCAAAAACAAAAAACATTACTTCAGGGGTGCTTGGGTGGCTCAGTCGTGAAGCGTCTGCCTACAGCTCGGGTCATGGTCCCAGGGTCCTGGGATCGAGCCCCGCATCGGGCTCCCTGCTCTGCGGGAAGCCTGCTTCTCCCTCTCCCACTCCCCCTGCTTCTGTTCCTGCTCTCACTCTCTCTGTCAAATAAATAAAATCTTAAAAAAAAAAAAATTATTTCAGTAGTGAAGACTATATAATACTGATGCGCTCCCATTAAGTCTCATTTTCTGTTGCTCTTATAAGTACCTTCCTACGCCAAGTGTAATACTTGAATTTCAAGATACTCTGTTGTTTCCTGTATCATGCCTCTCCTAAACACAAGTCCATGAACTAAAAAAATGGTGGTTATTTCCCACAGACAGCAGAAAACCTAGCTCTTAGAGGAGTTTGGATCAGACCACAAAGTAACAATGTTCCTAAGGGATTTTAAGCAAAATCTAGACTATTTTGAGATTTTTGTCTAAGTCCCCAATATACATTTCTATTCAGGTAAATTGAACATTCAAATAAAGTGGTTAATCCACTTCTTGGACATTAACACTCATAAATTTTATGGTAAAGAAAATATTTTCATATTCACACATGTGAAAATGTACATAGGTACAGTTAAAAACCCCCTCTTCAAAAACTCCAATACTACGTATGTTTTGAAACTGATTTTTCCCGATTTCAAAAAGGGTCCATATACTATTATTATACCACTAATAGGATCTGGGACAGGACCCAGTAATCAACCACACTGGTATTTCTGCAGTAAGATGAAGATTCACTTTTGTGAAAATAATAAAGGTCTGACATGACCCCAACATAAATGCAGGTCAGGTTTTGTCATCAAATAGGCTCATATCAGGGCGCCTGGGTGGCTCAGTTGGTTAAGCGACTGCCTTCAGCTCAGGTCATGATCCTGGAGTCCCGGGATCGAGTCCCGCATCGGGCTCCCTGCTCAGCGGGGAGTCTGCTTCTCCCTCTGACCCTCCCCCCCTCTCATGTGCTTTCTCTCGTTCTCTCTCTCTCAAATAAATAAATAAAACCTTTAAAAAAATTTTAAAAAAGGCTCATATCAGATCCTGCCACTAAATGATACATGAAAAAGCTTTTGGTTTTCAAAGTTTTTTGGTCTTCAGAATTGCAATAAGGACCTTGTTCACGAGTAACTTATGACATGTAATAGAAATTTAAATGGGCAAGTCCATTTCCAATAAACTAAAAAGAAATATCTATACAAATGTGCAAGGATATATGTACACAACGATATACACACTGTGGCATTAATTAAAGGCAAAAGGTTGAAAATCAATTACAAATGAGAAACAAGTTTGGCTCATCAATGCCAAGGAACACAAAACAACTGTTACGAAGGCACATTTGCATTTACTGACACAAAAGAATATCAGCTGTCAGGAAAAAAGCAAGTAAAAAAACAGCATTCCTATTACTGATTTTAAAAATAATTTATATGAGCACAGAGGGGGGTAGAAAAAGTTTATGTCACACTGGGAATAATCGGGGAAACAGGATCATTAACTTTTTTACTTTACATATATAATGTATCATTGAGTTTTGTTTTATACATGTATTGCCATAACATTTTAAAACAAAAACCAATCAAGTATTTTAAACAAAATTTGAAATGTACTTCTCCCATTGTTAAAGCAACTCTTTTCTGATAAAATGTGAGAATAGATTTACAAATCAGGAGTAAAAAGGTAAAATCACTTCAAACAGTTATTTTTCTTCCTTCCATTCTTTTGTCCAAAAATTCAAGAATTTCTACTTTGTTCTGAAATAAGTTGATGCCACACTGACAATTCCATAATCTGAACTTACAGACAATATTCAGAACTATCCCCTATTATATATATGTACACTTTTAATTTTTTCTATTTCACAAAATACTTTAATGAGTATCTATATGTATATTTAATGTCTCTGCAGGTGAAGGACAGATAACTTCCTAGGTAATATTTACAAGTGGAACTAAAAAAGTGACAGATTTTAACATCCGTCATGTTATAATTAATTGGAAATTGATAAAACCTCAATTTTACAACTTAATTTGAACCCATTTATTATTTTCAGGTCTCAAGTATTTTTGTAGGATTTTGAAAAATGGACAAGATCTAGAAACTAAGCCATGATATAACTAATGGATAAAAATGTCCTCCTACTCTTTGTTCCTATTTAGCATCACACTCTCCACACTTACTGCAGGGCTCAGTACGTAAGATCTTTATGTCGAATGACATAAAAAAGGAAAAGAATGGATAGATGGATAGATGAGTGAGCAGAAGGGTGGTAAAATTATGAAGAAATAAATGAACTACTAAGTGGTCAAGTCACAACTTGAACCAACTCATCACGCCTTGTCTTAGTCTTCTTTCTTCACTGAGACAGCCTCTGAAAAATTAATTGACCCGTGAGAAACCTAATAATTTGTAGCACTGAAAGGAAAACTGTAAATTTGTGTACTCCAAATAAGTTTTTTCTCTCTAAATATACTTTCTTAAACCAGTTTTGTCGATCTTCTAAAGTGAAACAAAAAAGCAGAGTCCAAACTATCCAGCTTGTTAACAGTTAAAGCTGTCTTATGTATGGCAGGAGCCACAGTCAGCTGTATTTCCTCAGTTTAACTGCTGTAGTTTTATTTGCTTTGTCTTGAAAGTACAGGATATTTTTGACAATTACTGGTGTAAGTTCCTAGCCACATTCAGTCTTTCTTGGTCTTTCATGAACTTGACATTTTTTCTTTTCCAGCAGCAGACAGGTTTCACTGACCTGGGCCTGGGGCAGACCGGGATCCTCACCCACAGCAGGGGGTGGAGGTGAGGTTGAAAATAAAATGTGATTTGTGGTAGAATTGCAGGTTTTGGCTATGCTGAGAGCCAAGGGCCTGGTTAGCTGGTAGCTGCAAAGTCGGACTTTTCTGTTGATTGTATCTGCAGCTGCAGCAGGAAAGGCAAAGCCTGACTTTCCTGCTGGTTGCATCTGCAGGAGTAGCAGGGAGGCAAGGAGTTCAGAAGCTGGATTCATGGGGCACAGGGAGGAAGTCCAGTCTGTTGGTTACCATGTTCCATCTGCTTTTGTAAGTACAAAGCACCACGAGGCTGGAGGACCTCTGTCTGGGTGGGTGGGCTAAAAGTGGCCGGGCACAGCCTCATGTAAAACTTTTCTTGAGCTGCAAGAAAAGGTAGTGGCTTCTCTTCCTGTAGGGCCAAAAGCTTCGCCTGCAATTTCAGGATCTGTTCCTGAGGGGGGTCTCCTCTAGTGACATTCTCTCTTCCAACTCCTTTTTCTTCTCTCCTGCTCTTCCTTCATCTTTTGTTCCATCATCTTGTACACCTCTCCCTCCTCCAGCAGACCACATTCCTAGCTCCATCATGATGTGCCAGTGCAATACCCAGGCCATGGCACTGGAAAGCTTGGGGCATTCCAGGAATGCAGGCATGGTGCTGCCAGGGATACTTGGGCCATGGGAGCCTTGCTCTATCACTGACTACCAGAACTTGGACTGGACCTGTGGGGCAGCAGGTTCTCAGGGGGTACCATGCCCAGCGGAAGCAGAAGCCCACTGACCTGCCATAGTAGTGTCTAACACTTGCCACCACGACCTACCAGCCTGGCAGGAGAGGTCTACCATGTGCGCAGAGCCAGGCCAATGGTCTCCAGCCTGGGCACTCAGCACACCTTCCTCCCCATTAGCCTCAGAGTGAGCCTGACACTTTTTAAAAGACAACGGATTATTTTGTACAATGTCTTTCAATCTGGGTTCATGTTATATTTCCTCACGGGCTAGCCTGAGGTTATAAATTTTTTGCCAAAAAACCCCACAGAAATGACAATGTATCCCTCTGACTGCATCATATCAAACAGTTCCTGATATCAATGTCTTATTACAGGTGATACGAACCTTAATACTTGGTAATGGTGGTGTCTGTTGCTTCTCCACTTTAAATTTACTGTTTTTCCATTTGTACCTAATACAAATGACTATGCAAATTGTTTCTAAAGTTTCGGCAAAAACTTGAACATCTGTCAGTAAATCTTGTCTGTGACAATTATTACTATAGTGTTTGACCCACTGGTGATCTTCTCTCATTCCTTCCATACT